GACAACAAACTCACAGTTATTAACAACCACACCTAAAACTAAAGCAAACTAAAAGGACAGCTAGATCAGGAGTGGAAACATAGAAATGAAGATCTCAAGGAGGGTTAGCAACAGGGGAGTGGGAGGAGGAGACGGGGGGAGAAGGTACAGAAAACAAGTAGCATAGACAGTAGATAGAAAATAGATGGGGGGGGGGGGCAAGAATAGTATGGGAAATATAGAACCTAAAGGACTGGAGACACATGGACATAAACTAAAGGGGGGTAATGGTGGGGTTGGGGGGGCAGGGTGGAGGGGAATGAAGGGGGGAATAGAACAACTGTAACAGCATAATTAATTCAAAAAAAATAAATAAATTTATTTAAAAAAAATAAAATAAACTTCAGTCATGTTCAAAACACTATCCATTTGATGCAAACCTATAGAGATGGTTTTCCACCATTCAAACCAGTTTTGTTTTTTTTTTTTAATTTATCTATCCTTAAAAGGGAAGGGAAGGAGAGAGGGAGAGAAATATCAGTGTGTGGTTGCTTCTTGTGTGTCCTCTGGTGGGAACTGGCCCCTGCTGGGAACTGGCCTGCAACCCAGGCATATGCCCTGATGGGGAATGGAACCGCAATATTTTGGTTCACAGGCCCGTGCTCAATCCACTGAGCTACAACAGCCAGGGCTCAAATCAGTTTTTGATGTCATCAATTTTCATGTCTTTTAGTGCTTCTGCCATTTTTGTTTCACCTTTTCTACATCATCAAAATATGTCCTTTTGAGGACTTTTTTTTTCCATGCAGGGAAACAAAAAAAATAGCTTGTGGTGAGATCAGGTGAATGAGGGGGTGGAACATGGGATCATATGTTTTTTGATCAAAAGCTCCTGAATGAATACTCAGTACACCATGTGAACTTAATGGCAGATTATACAATGCAGAAGAAAAAATCGGCAAACCTGAAAATGACACAGAAACTATCCAAAATGAAACAAGACAAAAAAGATTAAAAACTTAAAAAAAAAACAAAAAAAAACCCCAGAACATATGTAAGCTACAGAAGAAATTTAAATGCCTGATGTTAGAATCCCAAAAGGAGATGAAGAGGAGGAAAAAAAGATATTTTGTGATGTCAAACTTTTTTCTAAATGACAAAAACTATAAACTCACAGACCCACAATGAAGAAAAGTACAATGGCATATTAATCAAATTGATCAAAATCGGCAGTAAAGAGAAGAGCAGCCCAGGTGGAAAGACACTGAATATATAGAACACAGTTAAGGATAACAGCACATTTCTTATATGAAACAACATAAAAGAGAACACAGTAGGACAACATCTTTACAGTATTGGGGAAGGGGAAGTATCAACATAGAATTCAATGATTAGCAAAATATCTTTAAAGTATTTTTAGATATATAAAAGATGAAAAAATCTCTCACTAGGTAGATCTGCACTATAAAAAATGTTCATGAATACCCTTAAGAGAGTAGGAAAATGAAACAGATGGAAACAGGACCTGTGCAGAGGAATAAAGAACTGCATGGGAGTTCTGATGATCCATGAGGTCTCCAAAAAGATGGGAAAAAAGGCAAACAACTGTACTTGAACAACAATAAAATAAAAAGAAATAAAAAACAAAAATAAAAAAATAAAAGGGGTCCCTATTAACATTTTTCTTTATGATCTGAAAATCTTATTAAAAATAAGCACACACATAAAAAATCTATCTTACTGCCCTCCCACTCTCTCAAAGCACACATATGCCAGACACACAGAATTAGAGAAATTTCCTCATGTGATTTTAGAAAGAAATCATGCAGTGTCCTAGATGTCTAATGGAATACTGCCACTGCATGTCTCAACAGAAACATCCGAGGACGTTTATCTAACAGTGTGTGTCATTACCTACATTAAATCTATAAACACAAATCTGTAACACTCCAACACTTGTCATATTAGTAATATAAAATAGGCCAATATTTTCCAAAGAATGTTTTAAGAAGGCAAATATCACTGTGTCAGATATTCTTAACAAACTAATGACTTACACTGAGTAATAAATTTTGCCCTGGGCTTCTGAATAAAATGATAAACTTACTAAGTTATATAGTTTTCACTGCTTGGCACAAAGAAACCATATAAATTTTTGGCAATTTTTCACAATTTTTATCAGAAATATATCAAATGACTCGCACATTTTAAAAAAACTTGCTAACATGTTACATAATGGCAATATAATAATAGCTAACATGTTCTAACCATTTACTATATTAAAGCATCATACTAACAGCTTCCATGAATTGTCTTATTTCATCTTTAAAATCATCCTATGAGCCAGGCACTATTACTATTCTCATTCATTACAACTACACACGACTCAGACAGTCTTTAAATGAGTGTGTTTTACATCATTTTTCTATAAAAGCCAGAAGGATATTAAATCAACTCAGAAAAGGTATTTTGCAGGTAGACAACATATGTGTATTTTAAAATAATCATCTTTCATAAACCTTCATTGAAATATTTCTTGCTGATCTTACCCAAGTTTACTGAACTTACAATTTGTACAAATTGCATACATCCATTAAAGCAATGGCTACATTGCTTTTATATATATATATGAATGATATAGATATTCAGGAAATATATACATATGTCTTTATGTGTGTGTTTATAAAAATAAATAAAATAAATGTTTCTTTAGCTTATTTTTGCCAGGCAAATATCACACAGAAACTGGGTATGTTTATCTTGAAAAACAGAAACTTTACCAGAAATATTATATTTTTCAGCAAACATTTGGGAAGTTATCATATGGGGAAATGACCAAAGTTATTTTGTGTCAATCCAAGGAGCTTTACAAGAACCAATACAGAGACTACAGGGAGGATGACCTCATTGCAATATGAGAGAGAAAATGCTTAACATACTCTAATTCATAAATGGACCTGGGTCCCTTTACAAGTTCACTAGGTTCTCTAGCACTGAAAGCACTGAAACATGAAAAAGGGCTCTGTCACAGATGTGCCAAAAGGGAGCTGTATTTTGGACAGTTCGTTAGTTTCCTAGGGCTGTGATGACAAAAATAGCACAAATCAGTTCATTTAAAACAACATAAATTTATTGTTTCACAGTTCTGGAGGCTAGAAGACCAAAGTGTCATCAAGGCCACACTCCCTCTAAAAACGGTAGGGTAGATCCTTCCTTGCCTCATCCAAGCTCCTGGTGGTATGCTGATGAGAACTGCCAGTCCTCAGCAGCTACAGCACTTCAACCTCTGCTTCTGTCTAGACGTGATACTCTCCCTGCCCCTGTATCCCCGGCCCACATGTCTCTGTCTGTTTCTGTACTCCTCTTCTTATTAAGGACAGCGGTCATGCTGGGTTAAGGGTCCACCACACTTCCACAGACCCTCATCTTACGTGTGTCTGAAGAGACCCTATTTCCAAAATAAGGTCACATTCTGAGGTACTGGGAGTTAAAACTTCAACATGTCTTTTGGGGGGACACAATTCAACTCAGAACTAGATGATTACCTATTCTAAGATGCTGAGGCTCTAAATACGCGTAAGACAAGAAGTGCAACATTACATACAAACATAACAATTCTGACTCATTAATTCTGTTTATTCACATCATCCATTCAACAAACAATTTTCTGTGTACTGTCTTGAGCACTAGAAACACACTAAAAAAACAGTTCCTGGCCTCATGGAGCCTGTATTCAAATAGAATAAAAATGGCCATCATTTATAAGTATCTACCGTGTGCCAGATACTACACTAAAAATGTAAGTTATCTCAGTCCTCACAACAACCCCTATTAGGCAACAACTTTTATCTCCTTTACCACATGAGAAAACTAAGGTCATCATCTTCCTGAGACAGTGAATCATTTTTTGTTACAAAAATGTTCTTTTTATTTTTAGTGATACTCTTTGTCTTGAAATCTATGTTATCTGATATTAATATAGCCATCCAGTCTTCTTAAGCTTACTCTTTGCTTGTATGTGGTAAAAATAAGCATGTACAGATGTTACTCTTAAGAAATAGAGTAATTTACATTTGCAATGCCTACAGAATACTTTCAGTGTCTTAAATTCAGTGCTTACAGATTCTTCATGTAGGCTTCTCAATTTTTGCAAAACATTAATTTACCGATTCTAAAGGCTTAAGTTACATTTCCCTCTGAAGTTTCTATCTTTATGTTTAAATGTCCTAAATTTTCCTAGGAAGGAAGCAATAAGCACAGTGGAGGCTCCAGCCCAAGCTCAGTGCTGGTGTTGCCAACAATAGAACATTCCAGGAAGATATGAATGACAAACTTCCAACACTGCTGTCAAAGGAAGCCATGAGTTGGGTCATACACCATGCTACATGATTTAAAAGAAGGCTTTTTACTTTATCAACTTATGACTCCAAGATTAATAATACTTTATCATTTGTACAAAGCTGTAGGAGAACATCACTATTAATACCTACTAAGTTAAAATATATAGTAAGTTTGACAGCTACTGAAGTTAAGCTTTGTTCTACTTTCTCAGTAAATGAAAACCAAATAGTGTGAAAAATACTGGGAACTAAAGAAAGTACAGTCAGTATTTTAGTACCAACTATCTTTTGCTTAGGACTCCATTTACCTTACACTGTGCACAAAAATTATGTGCACATATTGTTTTTACAATGTCTTTTAAACAGCTCCTTTAAAAAAACTATCATTCTTTTTAGCTTAGTTTCAGTTATAATACTTAAAAAATTATTACTGTTTTTTTAAAAAATATTTCATTGTAAATTTTTATCAATTCAAACTGGCCTTTCAGTTATTCTGAATGGTGAAATATTATTTAGATCAGAATAGGTAAGAGAATACAAATTTACATGAAGTAAGTTTTGTGGTTAAACCCTACATGGTAGTGAAAATTAGACTATAAGAGAGAAAATTATACCACCAAACTACTTAACTTCCATTAAACATCTGACAATTTGTATATTAGCTCAAATACATTTTCTTACCTGCAGCTTTATTTCTTCTAAGTCTTTAGTTTTCTCTAATAATTCTCCTTTTAGCTCTTCAAACAGCAACTGCATTTTTTCCTGATTAGTTTGCTTTTCATTTAACAGGTGCTTGAGTTCATTTTGTGTCTTTGTATACTCATCTTGCAACCTGATTTTTAAAAAAAGAATTCAAATACAAGTGTATCCTTTACTTTCTAAGTGCATTACTTTTTATGTAAAGTCTACCGACACTACAGAAAATCAGTATCATATATTCTATTAAAATTGAAATATAGATAAATAGGGGGAAAAATCTACAAACCAAAAAAACCCCACACAAACAAAAAAAAAAAAAAAAAACCCCTCAAAAAAAAAAAAGTAATTTAAAGCAAAATTTTTATTGCATTGTTTTAAATGTAAAAATACTGCAAAAAATTATACTCTGTTCTTGAGCAAACATTCAAAAAGAATTTTAATCAAGCCCCTCACCTCCAAATTTATGTAATTTACCTTGTGTGTTCACCTTTCAGAGTCTGATAATTAATTTTATGATGCTCACATCGTAACCTTTCATCAATTAACATTTTTTGTAACTCAGAGTGAGAATTTGACAGCCCGCTGTCTCCACCAGGAGGACAAATGGTGGGAAGAGTGTCCATATTGGTAGGTAAGCTGACAACCATGTGAAAGTAAGTTCTAGGTTTCTTATTGTCTTCGTTTTCTTTCCAAGATTATCTTCCACTTCCTTCTTGCTAAGACAGGATCTTGGGAGGCAAAATTATACCTGCATGAAGAAATACATTTAATTAACAATCAGCGAACTCTTCAGTATTATATTTTTTATCACTTATTATTCTCCTTATCAATTCTATAATAAAAATAACTTTGAGATTTCCAAATCTCATAAAAGAAAATTCATACAATAAAGTTGAATAACACCTTATCAAATTTTCTTTTACTTCCACGTAAAGTTTCTGTGACCACAAAGGTCACAGCTTCGAGTACTAACCTAACTGGAAGTGCTAACTTTTCCCATTCGGGTATACTCCCAGATTCACACACCCCAGTTGTTCCCTGAAACTACCAGGTTAAACTTCAAGGGTAGATACTAGTACAAAATCCGTATCCTGAAATCAGGGGAAAAATCACATGGAACTTGGTAAGTAACTAGGGAGAATCATAATCTTCACAAAGATGACCTTCAGTATATAACCATGTGTGATTTATGATACAATGAGTGTTTTATTTGACAAAAGGTGACCTGCAGTCAGGCTACAAATTCAGGTGAGCACTCAGTCAACACACTAATACTGGTCACCTCCTACATGGACTCTAAATTGTCTCGGCTATCCCCAGAAGCACTGACCCAGCATAATGAGACAACTAAATGTTTGCTTCATCGAAAGGTAAAAAATAATGACAGAATCTTCTTACTATAAGTAATTAAAAACAAGTATTTTAACCAAAATAATCCTGTCCCCTTTAAATTCATTGATCTTTCTCAAAATTAATATATATTTTTCCTAATAGCATCCCCTCAGTGGGGGAATCATCATGAATTACTCTTTCTTACTACAAGAAAGATTTTTAGCCTCTGAAATCTGACTATTAAATCACTCATTCTTGGTTTAAATACATCATTTCTGATAAATTAATATGATGTCTGCCTATTACATTAGAGGACTTTTCAGCTAAAATTGGGATTGCTTTGGATTCCTGTCAAATCATATTTTAATAAAGGGGGGAGAAAGTCTTTCAAGGATACTTTACACCTTACTCTTATGTTAAATGTGCACCAGGATCTAACCTGTGCAAATGCAGAGTGTACTGTTTGCAGGAGCTGCCACAAAATTATTCTGTGGCAGGGTACACATTCTGCAAGAGTGTATACATTTGCCATAGAATTAATTAATTGTATCATAAAAGTGGCATGTAATTTTGATTCTGCTCTTTGATCTTAATTAATTTTAAGACATAAAAACATATAATAAACCTACTCATAGTTTCTAACAATATCACCACAAAGCATTATAGGGTTTAATTTTAATTAGCTAAAAGCTTAAACCACCTTGGAAAAACCCAGACCTACCATTTAGTTGCACAACTAGAGAAAGATTTCCAAACTAAAATGAACATTTTTTCTTTTTTATTCCAGATAAATTGACAGTAAATATTCTCACTGACTACTACTTTAAAATGGGTGTTAAGTCTCCACAGAAATAAATTTCACTAAAACCTAAACATTTTTGTAAAACGAAGTTAAAATGACCTAGCTCCTTGCCTTTTGGTGCTGGATTACACTGGAAGTGGTGTTCAGAACACCACCGATCCCTTCCTCAGTCACCATCACCGACCGCCTCATGCCTAGTTCCGGCTCCCACGCAAGCATGCATGTACTGCCCCCTGGAATTTCCCAAAACCAAGAGGGTTTCTCTCCTGTTCCAAGATGATGTTCATGACTTCATTACCTTTTTATATGTTAAATTAATAATTAAGAAAGCTAGAATACACGATCACAGGACAGCAGGAACCACACTCAAGTGCATAATACACTTCTAGAACACACACATACAAATTAACAGTTAATTTGCACATGTTCACAAAAATCAGTACTGACCTTGTTGGAAAGTTACCTGTATCAAAATGATAAATCTACTGATGTCCTGGTCCAAATTCTAGAAATTCATTCTATGGAAAGAGCTGGATGAGTACCCAAAAATAATTACATAAAATTTTCTTGCACACAGACAAGATGGGTGCAAAGTAAATGGAAGCTGTGTCCACTTGCTCTATCCCCAAACTGGAGTTACAGCTGAATGGGCAAGCAATCAAGCTGAACAATCAAGTGAAACCCAGCTGATATGAAATATTATAACCAAGGAGCATAGAAGAGGCACATAGAAACTGGTAAGAGGGGGTGAAAGGCAGAAGGGTAAAGCCCCTGAACACAGGGGCAGTGACAGCTGAGAAACCAACAGATATTGTGGCTGTGGAACTTCCTTAGCCTAGGAGCAAGGGGTCTTAACCAATGCAAGAATCCCCAACCCACAGTAACAGAGATGGAAATCCCCAACCTACAGCAACAGAGATGGGAAAAGGAGTCTGTGGCATGTGGAGGTGGGAATCAATGGGGATTCACCCAGCCTGGGACACTCAGAGCATACCACCCATCATAGAGAGCACTCCTAGTGTTACACCAGCCCAGAGGGTTCAAGTAGGGGCTCTGACTGCTGCAGAGGCCACGTTGCCACACTCGGGTTCTGTGGAGGGGACTGCTGGCTACACCCAACAGTGACTTTAAGGAGTTTTCTATCTTCTGGGGAGGCATAAAGCAGAGACCCTGACAGTGACTTCACTGAGTAGCTTGGAAAGAGGACCGGTCTCCCCCAACTCAAGAGCAGATTTGGTATCCCTACTTCCACCTGTTGAGCCATTCCTGCTGCTGAGTTCAGAGGCACAGAAGAGCTGTGTAGGGCTGGGGTTTTGGCCCTGTCCTGCTGAGACCAGCAGTGCAGAGAGATTGAAGTATAGCAGGGGGCTGGAATTTTGGGCCTGTCTTATTTGGTTTGGCAGTGAGCCAGGGAGTCACTGAGAGCTGAGATTTCTGGACTGTGTCTCCTGGGAAGGCTTCTGTCTGGGAACCAGATGGGTGATTGCTGAGCTGCTTGACTATGTTGCAGTAAGGTAAACCCAGTGTCCCCAGTGAGTGCATTTGTACTACCCCGAAAAGGGGAAGAAGTGCCCCCTCCCCTCTATAGGTTTGTGAGCAATAGAAAACTGTTTAGATCAGCCTTGCTAAGTAAGAAGCACAGAATGAGGATTTTCAAAGTGTGAGTTCCTCTGAGGCTATTGTCTGAGACTGGGGTGAAGAGCTTAGCTTCCTCCTGCAGGCTGGGCTGGCATCAGCCCCAACAGGAGACTCTTTTTATCTATCCCCTTGACTCGAGGGCTGCAGAGCTTACTCCTGCAAAGTAGACAGTTGGCTGTAACCAACCTGAATCTGCAGTGAGATCCTCTGGGAGAACTAAAGTCAGAGACTCTGGCAGAGGCTGGGGGATTTGGCTCTGAAGCAAGGGGCTACCTTCCCCTCACTGAGTGCCTAACAATGGGAGCCCCAAAAAGGGGACCCAGAACCCTACCTCCAGCCTGGGCTCATCCTACCGTCTCTTTCAGAAGATTCCAGAGGAAGACAAGGCAACCTCAAGAGGAGGCAGAGTAGCTAAAGGTACAGGTGGACCTCAGGGAACCTTGGTCCTTTTATAGAGCTCACCCTAGCTCTACACCAGAAGAAGCTGACTTTTTTACACATATTGGCCCCTCACACATACACACACACACAAATCCAGTAGACAGAGTGAACAGTACAGTAGCTACAAATAGGTAGCCCAAGGCTGGTTACACAACACATCCAACAGCGACTTATATCTGAACCCCACTCCAGTAGACCCACAACCAACAAAACCTGTGGTGGGCTTCAGAGGACACCAGAGCTTGACCCGACTAGCCACACAACCAGCAACCAAAAGTGGAAAATCCTGAAGGCACCACACCCTGCAAGGAACAACATGGCCCCAAGGGGCAGCTCTTGCACAGTCTCACACACGGCGGTGGGTGAGGTTTACCCTTACAGTCTCCCTGACTGAAGCACTAACTCTACCCACAAAAGAGCCAACAGAATCCAAGACTCAACTACAACAGGGGGTACAAATAAGCCATGGAAACACTTCTGGAGCACAGAACAAAGGTGATCTGGATGACAGTGCCACTGAGCCCAACAAGACAACTTCATTACACAACCATCAAAACAAGTTTGGGAGAGACAGCATATCTACCTAACACACAGATACCAAACGTAGAGACAAAGAAAAATACAACAAACAAAAAAACAAGAAAAATCTCCAGAAAAAGAATTAAAAGAAATAAATGCAATGGAAGCAATTCAAACAACACATGCAGAGTTTGAAATAATGATTATAAAGATATTCAAGGACCTGAGGGAAAAATGGATGATTGTTGAGAACCATCCTGCCTGGTTTCAGAAGTTGACCCCCCAACGGCTAAGGATGAGTAAAGAGACCTTGGGACCATAAGCCACTAAGGAGACAAAGCTTATCTTCCTGGTAGGGGTGCCGCCTCTGCCCCTTTTTACTTTACCCTGCCTGGCCCAGGGCAGATGACTGGTTAGTCAGTGACGGGTAAGATTGCTGAAGGGAGGGATGACCTAAGACAGGCCCGGTCACGATGGGGCCATCAGGGAAGGACTTGGGGGGCTATAGAAAAAGGGGGTGATGAATCCTCACCCCTCGGCTTTGACATAGCCTGAGTCCTCAATCTGTCTGCAAGAAGTCTCCTAATCTCTTGGCTGCCTTACTTCCCTTGCCTGACTTAAGCCTGAAACAATGACAGAAGGTAGTGCAGCCCTGTGCTGGCAAGGGCGGGTTCCATGGGGTGATCAGGCCTAAAAAAGAATACATAAAATCCTATGAAACCTGCTTTGTTTAGAATGCTCTCAATTAAATGATAAGGGTCCAAGCAAGAAGTGAGTTTGTTCCTCAAAGTTCTAGGGCTCTTTAGCTATCTGACCCTGACTCAAAATAGGCCCTCAGAGTTCTTTGTGTTATCTATTGTTTTATCCTTACTGCCTGATAATGACTGATGAGTTTTACCAGTATTCCTGTGCAAACTGAACCCAATAAAAGCCCACTGAGGAACAGGTTCCTGGCCCTTCTCCTTTGAGAGATCGGCCACCTTTCCTCCCCAGGCAGATCATGTCTCGGGAGACTT